CAAGGGACGGTTCTAAAAGGGCTTCTAAATTTAACAACCGGCCAAAAGTGGCGCATTAGGCACCGACTCCGTGGGTGCTCCGGGGCTAGTGGAGAAGCAGAGCGTGGCCGCACATTCAGGGGAGGAGGCGGAGGCGAGCTAGGGCCAGGCGCGGGGTGGGAAGCTGCCGACCACCCACCAAATTTTCCATGGAGTCAGTGCCTAAGCCGCCACTTTTGATGTGATCAGTGGGGGGAGCGGCCAGTCCCCCCTTAGCTATGCTACCCTGCCCCTAGGAGCCAGAGGGACCTGCCAGATGCTTCCTGGGAGCTGCCCCAGGTAAGCACCGCTGGGACTCCCCATCTCATCCCCCGGCAGGTCCCTCTGGCTCTTAGGGGTGGGGTTGGCACCCACTACGGTGGCCCACAAGACCCTTCTGCCTGGTTCTGGGGGCAGTCAAGGGACAGGGGAGGGGGGTTTGGATGTGGCAGGAGTCCCGGGGGAGTGAGGGTGGGCCACGACCCCCTCATGGGGTGAGGAGGGAACCAGTTGTTAAGATTTTGGCAGCTCATCACTGAGGAGACTCACACTGATTCAGCTGCCAAAGGAGATGAGGAGTACTTCAGCCACTTCACCAAGATCTCAGATGTGGTGGCAACCCTATTTTCCCCACACCTATTGTCCAAGATACTGGGGGTTGCCAAGGTCATGCTGGGACGCCTTCTGCACCTCCAGGTCTGTGTGGAGGAGCTGATTCTCAAGCTGGCTAGCATCGATGCCCTGATACTGGGCCCGGCGCTGCACCAGGTGGAGGACACTTGATCATGCCCCTCAGAGTTGGACCTCATTTATATTTCCTGATTTAACATCTTGCAGGAGCGCTCCTCCAGCATTATGCTGGCCCCATTTTCGCACCACCACCTGGGGGCTGTGACAGCCTCAATGATATCTGAGAGGCTGGGGCTGGCCTACTGGCATTTCAATAACAGCCTTTTTGAGGATGTGGGGTTTGAGGCATCCTTCCAGGAGTTTTGGCTGGCCTGGCAGAGGCAGAAGCAGAGGCACACCTTTGCCTTGGCACAGAGGTGGTGGGACCTGTCCTTTTGCAGAGAGTGTCAGGAAAAGTGGGATGAACTTTGGGCCCCCAATGACCATCTGGCCTGGGGTCCCTTCATTTGATCCTGCATCCAGCTTCTTTGGGAGATGAATTGTGGCTCCTGCTTCTTCTACAACTAGAGAAAAAGAGGGCCAAAAGGCACATCACCTGCCTCCTGGCAGAGGACAGTATCCCTCTCATGGACCCAGTGGAGAAATGGGGAAGGGTTAGGGGCTTCTGTGCCAGCCTATTCTCCCCAGATCTGACTGATGCCAACACCAGTGGGGTCCTGTGGAACAAACTCCTTATGGTCAGTGTAGGCGACTGGGACCAGCTAGAGCACCCACTCACTCTGGCCAAGTTCTTGGAAGCCCCCCACCTGATATTCACCAACAAATCTCCAGGCACGGATTTCTACCACTAATTCTGGGACATTCACTGTCTGGACCTCTCCGCCATCTGGGACAAGTTCTTAGGTATCACAGAGCTCCCCCTGTAATGTTGGCAGGCTGTGTTGAACTGCCACCTAAGAAGGGTTACCTTCATGACCTTAGGAACTGGCATCTGAGTCTGTGTCTCACTCCTCAACACAGATTACAAGGTCATAGCAAAAGCCATCTTGCTGAGGCTGGGGGTCTGTGCTAGTAGACATGACACACCAAAATCAGATCTACATCGTCATGGGCAAGACCATCTTTGATAACCTCTATCTGGTCTGGGACTAACTCCATCTTGTGTGTTGGGATAGTCTGTCACCACCCCCATCCTGTCCCTGGACCAGGAGAAGGTGTTTGACAGGACAGATCACAGTTATCTCATGGGCACTCTGTGGGTATTCGGCTTTGTGTGCATTCTCCAGGCACTGTACACTTCTGTCAAGCTCAGCTGGTTCTCACCCAAACCTGTCACATACGGTTGAGGGGTACATCAGGGCTGCCTGCTGTCCAGCTAGCTCTATACCATTGGTATCGAGCCCTTCCTTTGTCTCCTCTACAAGAGGATGATGGGGTTAGTACTGTGGGAGCCAGATTTATGGGTGGACCTGTCGGCAGACGTCAACAATGTGCTCCTCATAGCCAGGAACCTGGGCCACCTGCTGTGGGTAGAGGCTTGCACCAAGGTCCTCATTTGCCCAGGTAACAGGGTCAAGAGTTCTGGTGTGATAGTTGGGGACAGGTGGCAGGCATACTCCCTCCCACTCGCACTCCATGCCATCTGGTGGGGTGTGGGTCCTCTGCTCTATCTTTCTGTCACTGATCCCTCCCCACTGGAGGCTTGAACTGGAGGCCAGAGTGGCTGACCACTTGCAGAGATGGATGGGGCTGCTCTGGTGCCTTTCCTTTTGAGGTTGGGTACTGGTGCTCAACAAGCTGATACTGTCTATGCTCTGGCACCAGTTCAACACCCTGAACATGCCCTCAGGAATTCTAGCCAGCATCCACAAGAAAATCCCAGGGTTTTTCTGGCTGGGGCTGTAATATGGTCTCTGTGGGGGTCCTAAGCTTCCCCCGGGGGAAGGGTGAACAGGGCCTCATCTTCATCCACAGCCAGGTCCACTCCTTCCACCTTCAGGCTCTGTAAAGATTCCTTTACACTAGAGGTACTCAGGCATGGAGCATACTAGCACACGCCTTCCTCCACCACCTCTGAGAGCTCCAATCGGACTGGCAGCTCTTTTTTCTCCCCCCAGAGGTGTCCCCCGAGACCTCTCTGAGCTGCCAGTCTTCTACCAGGACCTCCTTAGGACCTGGAAGATAGTCTCTGTGACCAGGTCTGTAGCAGCTGCTGATGGGGAGAACCTCCTTGCAGAAAGCCTGCTGCAAAACCCCCATCCCCATGTACAAGTGGTGGAGCCCCCCCTAGGTGCATTGGAAGTTGGTCCTAGTTGGTACCACCCACCAGAGTCAGAGTCCTCCTGGATTATAATAAGAGGGATGGGATGGGCCCCATTGTGCATGCCAGTGCGTGGGGATGCCCACCCTGTGTTCCCTTCCAGACTCTGCAGATGAGTGTGATCGAGTGGACACAGACCCTCTTGCCCATTCTTCCCAAACTTAGCCCCTTCTGTCCTGCTCCTTCCAACCTATTTTACTTCCAGTTCTCTCTTCATTACTCCAGGCTTCTCGTCCCAATCCCATTCTCCTTGCCTACCCACTCCTAATCACCACTTCTCAGGCTTCTCATCTGAGTCCTAGCTTCCTTCCTTGATCAGTCTCAGTTTCCATATAGGATGGTCTGTGCACGAGTCATGCCAATGATGTATACAGGCTGATGTAGAAAGCCATTAGACAGGCAAGGGAAAGTTTAGGCTGAGGGTTAGCATTATAGATATGCCATTTACACAGACCAATGTTCCCAACATCCTGCAGAAGTGGTGCAGAGGGGTCATGATTAATGATTGGTTGGGATGTGGATTCCACTTTCCCAAGCCCTCTTCATGCCATTCTCTTAGAGCCAGCTTTATACAGATGGCGTGGATTTAATCCTTAGTATTACTTCTATAAAAAGGTAGAAATTAGCCCTTTTTTAAAATAAACAAACAAACCTGGAGTGAATGGATAAATTGAACAATACAGTAGTGTATTTGTTTTCAACATTGTTGTCTCAGTCATTTCAATTGTTAATATTTAGTGTTAATGTCAATGAATATTTATGTATACTTTTTGTTTTACTTGTGTATTTTCAGGATTATAATTGTCAAGTTCTTTTATATTTCAGAGACTGCCCCCCCACCAATATAAATAGAAGTTTTTTCTACTATACTACATTTTTAATTTAACAATTTAGGTGACATTATTTTATGGTGGCAATGCTATGTGCTGACATAAATGTGAGAATTTTGTGTGTCTTCTCTGGGGCTTATTTTTTCCCCTTCTTTCTTTGTCTGACATTGTGAACCTGAGATGTTTCTTTACCTTAGGGCTTTAGTGAACAAATTATAGCCTTGATCCTGCAGTCTGATCCTGCAGTCTTGACCTCTTCACCCGCACTGAGCCTTAGTGTCTGCAATCGAGCTCCATCTACAGGGAACTCCATTTAAGCTAACAGTATTACACCTGTGTAAGCAGAAGACTCCGCCCACATAGGTCGGTTTGGAGTAACAGAGTTCATAAACAGCAATAAGATTTTTGGCTTTCTCACTTAAAAACAAAAAAGTATATTAAGATCAACCAATACATTTTTTTAAAACAATGAATAAAATACATAACAATAAAACCCCTGCCTTTGTATGGTTTTATCTGGCTTAAAAAATCTGTATTTAGAAGGCTAAATATCCTGTTTTTCACTCCCAAGGCTTCCTCTCCTTCTGGCCCTTCATTTTCTCACAGTCCAACAGCCAACTTTTAGAAGGAAACCAGAGAAAATTAACAATTTACCAGTTCAGTGTTCTGTATCTGAATTGTAGAACAGCAGATGCTGAAGATAAAAGAATTTCCAAGTCAAATTCAGGAGTAAAGGTTAAAGTGGCCATCTCAGGGAAAGCTTTCCTTCTAACCCAATGCCAAAAGTTGGCTGCTGCATCAATAGGAACCTCCTGGGGGCACGGTTCCGTATAAACTCGTGAATTATAATTTCAGTTACTACTGTTCCTCAGTAACTGTTGCTTGTATTTAACAAATAAATAAGAAATAAACTTAGCTGGCATTTGGACCTTAAAAGTCAATACTTTATAGCTTCACTTGGGCTTCTTGATACTTTATTTTCTTCCATGGATTGATGTCTACAAATAAAATTGTGACCTCAGTATGGGCCTAATATTCAAATGGTATCAAATTGCCAGTGTTCCACTGACTTCATTTTATACCCAGTGAGGCTCTATCCCAATATGTCTTTTTATATCAAATATTACAACCAGATGCAATCAGATAACTGAAAAACAAAAACAAACAAAATATCATGATAGTATATGCCATGAAATACTTACCAAAAACTTGGAGGAATGTCTGTTTTTTATCATTTCCTGCTTTATTTTTTGCTCCACACACATAAGGACCTGCGTCAATATTTTTGATATCTCTGATTGTTAATTCTGTATTGCTTCCTCTCAAAATATATTTTTCATTTTCATCAATAAGTTTGCCATTCCTGAAGAATAAAAGGGATTTATAATCACTCAGTGTATCTCATAGTCTGAAAGACCACGTTCAGTTTTCTGATTGAGAAGTGTCAGTCCCTTCAGTGATTTTCACCGGAGGACATGACTATTTTGCTACCATAAAAAGCACAGAAAAATGTGTGGTAGAGACTAGCATTATATTTGGAAAGCTGTTGATTTCACTCTGATGTAAATTATTTGAGTGGGTAATTGGATGTCTTTATAAATGTGTCCGAATTCTGGGCATAAGGGAATCATTCTGGACTGTATCTTGATGCTCAGAACTCCTTGCCATATGATTTTTATTACCATGTTCTAAAATACAAATTAATTAGAAACAGTATAACATTTTCATTCCAATACATTTTAACACTGATTTAATGACACTACTATTCACATTAGTGCAATAATTTATAAAAATGGTTTCATACTACTTACACATATAGTACACTGGCACTTGTGTCCGTTTTTTTTCTTCTCAGCTGTTGTTGGCTACTCACAAATCAGTAAACAAACAAACCTCCAGCTACTGGGATATGTGCAGTGCAGATGGTTTAGAAATAATGAAACCTGTGAATACTCTGATGGTTGATCAGTACTTGACCAACTCACTTCTTCACCCTGGCATATACACGATTATATTGTGCATTCTTTCTACTAGAATGTAATCTTAACTTTATTTCTCTTCACTTTGCCATATTTGCTCTAAGCTTCCTTTGACCTATTTTTTCTGTTGCTCAGTTATGCAGCTTCTTCACATAATAAATAAATAAAAAAAAGTGCCTGATTGTCACAAGTGCTGAGCTCTCTCTGACTTCCATGGGATTTGGGGGACCAAATCAGGCCAGTTTTTTTAGGTGCCTACATATGATTTAGGAGCCCAACTTTAGTCACCCAAGTTTAAAAATCGGGGCCATGGTGATTTTTAGTTTCTTTCTGATCATTTTATGGTGATAGTCATATTTATTAAAACAAATTCTAAAATAATTCAAAATATATCTTATTTTAAGCAAGAATATAGATCCTTTCTAGGGAAGATTAATTTTATGCCAGCAGCAGTGCATTGATAGGGTATCTTTATGTCTTGTATTTTAAGAACAAAGTTAAAACTCACTCCAATTTTAATCCATTGATGCTTTAATTTTATAAACTTGATGGTGACACTCATTCATCTCCTTTTCAATGTGAGTTACTTTATTTGTTTAGCAGACTTACTTCTGCACTCAGATATTTCCATACAATTTCTAGTGTTTTCAGTAGGAGATGCAAGGGAGTGTCTGCCGTAAAAAATGGTTCCAAAATGTCTCTTGTCACGAACGTTTCCTACAGCCAGGAAGATTTGAAAATAGAAACTGGGACTTCCAGGGAACAGGACAGACTTAAATTGATACTGATGTTAGAGAACAAGAAGCTATGTTTTACACATTAGAAGATTATTTCCTTTGTGGGTTAATTCTAAGTCTTGTAACTAAAGATAAAGGGATTGATCCTGCAATTAGTTGCATTGATTCCAATGAGATTACTCACATGAGTATGGCTTGCAGTATCGGTCCACACTTATCTTACAAACTTGGGAAGTTTAATTCTGTTGGAATTCTTCACTCACTTATTCTGGTTTTCTACTAGTGTAACTCCATCAACTTCAGCGGAGTTACCCTATATTTACACATGTGTGACAGAGGAATCAGTCCTTCATAGAAATGAAATTTTAACTAGGTATATTCACATATTAAATAAAACAAAAACTAATCTTTGCTTATTTTTCTTCTTATATACCTCCCAAGACTAATATGTAAGTGTTCTATTGGACTGGTAGGGAAACACTGACACATTAGCTCAATTCCCTTAATCATGCATAATGCAATCCAGAATGTGACTGGAATTTAAAATAATGTTTACTTATACTCCCATAAGAACATAGCTAAAACAATTGACAGACAGATGATCAATAACTTAAAACTCTATCATATAAATACCATACAAAGGAGGACTTTGGTTCCAATCCTGAAGCTCCTGGTTTGGTCAGCTTTTTGCTTACTGAGTCAAACACCACAAAGGGACCTTACAAGAGGGCTAAATGTTATTGGTACAAGGTTAGCCCGGCTGTAGCTCAGCTGACTTCAGTGGTGAAGCACCTGTTTATGCCAGGGCTGAATTTGACCCTTAATTGTAGCAACGTGTGGGAAACTGAAAAGAAAAACCCCAGGGGACGAAGTGAAAACTGAATTTTTAACTCAGCTGAAATCTGGCTCTATTCAACTGTAAGGAAGAAAAGATTATGCCATAATAAACCAAAATCTTTCAGTCGTTACCGAAGAAAAATTTCCACTGATGTCAATGAGAGTTTTGGCCGTGTCAGGATTAGGTCATAAAATATATTCCAAAGAATTTTGTGAGATAAGTAATTTAAATAACGAAACAGGACTAACACAATACTTCAATAAATCAAAACTCATTATTTCATTTGAATGGTTGTCATATGAAATTCCTATTGTTTTCAAACTCATATTACTCATTCAACAGCTGTTTTGGCAAAAAAAAAACAACTCCATATAAAATTGATACTAAATTTTACATAAAATGTGAACCCATTACTCACAGAAGTCAGTGGGGATTGAGTAAGGGGTTCCCGGTCTGGCCTGTATGAAGAAATAGTCCTGATGAACCATATTTACTGATAGTAATGCTATGTAGATAGAGTATTATTGGGAAACCACACTGGAATTTGTGTAATGGAGGATGCCCAGTGCCCAGTCTCCCAGGCCAGCAGGATTTTGCCCAGAAAATCCCTGAAAATCCAGTACACTTCTGCAGGATAGTTAATTGTGCAGGTTATCAGTGAAAAAAATAATATTTATTATTACTTCAGTTTGTGGAATCAGAAGTACCTGTCCAGTACTGTAAAAACCTACAGTATTGTAAAAAAAAATATTTCTTCCTTAGTGATTGTTACCAAGCATATAGCATAAGTGTGTAGATATCTTGGCATAAACAGAAATCTTCGATTGCTTTTGACATAAATGGTAAATAAATTACAATAATAGTACTATGTATATTTCTAGCACTTTCCATCTTAGGATCTCTATGTGCTTTTTATATAGTACCCATTTTACAGATAAGTAAACTGAGGCACAAAGAGGATAAGAGACTTGCTCAAGGTCACAGAACTCAATTGCATAGTTGGAAACAGACTGCAAAATCATGGATCCCAAACAATAGATCACATTTCTTCTCATAGTCTACTTTAAAATCTAATAAAATCAAACTCTGGTGGGGGAGTGAAGATGAATTTAAATTGCATATTTCTGATAACTCTGGAAAACAAATGCCAAAATAACATTGTTTCACCAAAAACAGAAATAGCACACAGTACTAAACAAGACAAAATAACATTCTAACCCCATATCTGAACAAAAGCTCTGTGTAGCTCTAAGCTTGTCTCTTTCACCAACAGAATTAGGTTTAATAAAATATATTACCTCACCCACCATATCTCTACAACGTTAATGAAGCAGTCAAGCTGAGGAAATGGTTTGAATTAAGGTCCAAATATAGACTTATAGATCAGTCTCTTGCAAAAGCCTCCTCATATTGCCTACAAGTGGCAAGATTTTGGTGGAGTAAACTTTAAAATTAACTTCTCAGAAATAATAAGGGAGGTAAATATTTTGATCTGTTTTTTTTCCTCAATACAGTCAAACCTGATCTATTAATTTCGAAAGAAAGTAAATCTGAATGGATTTTTTTTTTTTGGTTCAGTGGCAATTCCAAAAATAAAATAAAATAGTTTTGAGTCAACCTGAAAACATTTTTTTTTAAAAAAATGACTAATTGAAAAGTGATTAAAAAATCAATGTTTTGTTTAATCCAAAACAAAACGTTTTTCATTTTAAGCATTTTTCCACATTTTTATTTAATAAAAATAAAATTAAATATTTCAAAACAAAAAAGTTGATTTGAATCGAGAAATCGAAATGTTTCATTCTGAAAATGAAGTGTTGATTTTTTTCACAGATTTTTAAAAGATTTTTTTTCACCAAAATAATGTGGGTAAATCAATATGAATTTGTGAACTATTTGGGTCATCAAATCTCGATTTTTTGTTGAAAAAAATTATTCAGCTGAAAATTTTGCCCAGCTCTACTTAAAACTCATCTTGAGATGTCTCTGAGATGAGCATGAGAACAAGGAAAAAAATATCATCAGATAAAGATACTGATTAGTCAACGGAAGTGAAATCAGAAATTAAATTGACTATATGCATAATAACGTGTGGAATTAAGTTTGCTCCATCCACCGAGGAAATAGTTGAATTCCCACCTCCTATTATTATTACTTATTTGTATTTCAGTAGCATCTAGGTGCTGTTACCAAGATCAAAGCCCCATTGTAGCAGGCATTGTAGTAACACATAATCAAAGACAGTCCCACTCCCCCAGAGAGCTTATATTGTAAGCAGACAAAACAAATAACGGGCAGGAGGAGAAACAGAGAAGTGAATGGACTTCCCTAAGGTCTCAGAACACAGGTCAGTGGCAGAACGAGAAATAAAACCCAAGTCCACTGGCTCACTACCACATTCACTGGACCACATAGTCTCTCAGGGCCTGAGTAAGGCTTTATCCACTAGAGGTATTGGAAGGTTAACAACAACCATTTTCCTTAGTGAGGGGTCATTCTTGCAGGAAGGAAGATCTGGTTCACAGACTATTTGCATAGGGCCTTCTGTAAGGTGTTTCATTTGTTTGTGTATTTTACTGTGATACTTTCAAATTAAAGTACACTAAAGATATGGCACTGAAGACTGACAATTCTAAACATACAGCTCCCCAAGACACAAGATGACTGTGTCCATCCTTCTCATCTTGAAAATGTAAACCACCATGTTGAATTGTCTTTTTGCAGTGAGGCAAATGAGGATATTAGATTTCTAATAAACTTGAGAGAATTCTGCCCAGCTGGGAGCTACATTTTATAACAAAAAGAAAAGGAGTACTTGTGGCACCTTAGAGACTAACCAATTTATTTGAGCATGAGCTTTCGTGAGCTACAGCTCACTTCATCGGTAGCTCACGAAAGCTCATGCTCAAATAAATTGGTTAGTCTCTAAGGTGCCACAAGTACTCCTTTTCTTTTTGCGAATACAGACTAACACGGCTGTTACTCTGAAACCTGACATTTTATAACATGACCTCAAAGGGATACCAAGTTCCCAAAATGTGAAACTTTTGTTTGTGAATTCCACATCACCACTTCAAATAATTTGGGTTTGCATGATTTATTTTATTTTTGTTTCATCAGATAGAAACTGAATTCTCATCTATATTAGTGAGTGGGGCAAAGATGGCACTTATTTACACCTTCTGCAATCCAAAGGAATTCATGTCAGACAAAGTCAGCACACCATTTGACACATACATCAGAAAGCAGGTGTCAGTCAAGGGAAACCAACATCTACCTAAGATGAATCTAACAGAATCTCTTAAGTTTCAAATGCTGAGTAACAATGAGAGAAGATAGCTGAGGAGAATCCCTATGGAGTCCAGTGCACTCTGAAAGATGTTCACAAATCTCTTGATCCTTTTGAAAGAGCACATGGGGGACAATTCATTCAAGCCCCAAACAGAAATACGTGTCCATACAAGGAATCTGAGCTATTTCATACTCAGACACCGGATTCCATCCTTTGTGAATAGATCAGGTGTTGAAACAAAAGGCATGTAAGTCTGTGCCATAAATATGCATGGAAAAGCTGAGAAACCAATGAAAAGCTTTCAGAGAGGTAACCGTGTTAGTCTGTATCAGGAAAAACAACGGGGAGTCTTTGTGGAACCTTAGAGACTAACAAGTGTATTTGGGCATCAGCTAGAACCCACTTCATCAGTTGCATGCAGTGAAAAATATAGTAGACAGGTATAAAAGCTGAGATCCTTAAAGACGTTATGTGGCAAATTTTCAAAATTGCACAGTTTTAACCATATAAATCTTACTGACTTCACCTGGAAGATATACTCCATATCCCCCAAACAGTTTTCTATTTTTACAGATTCAGATTTGCAGGAGTATCCACAACTTGTCTGCAAATAATGGAATCAAATATCCAGACAAACTAACACAACACACAGAAGCCATACCTGTTACTGAATATCTGGCTGCACTGGACGATCAGATGATTAAAATCAGCTTAAGATAGATCTTCTTTTACATTGTATTGATGTATAATATAATACTGTTACTTTGTGTGTTGGACATGTATTTATAGCATTACATCTGTATTCAGTGTTATTTTAGGTAGTTGTATATGGGATTGGAGAGTGAAAATTTCATGGAGAAATTCAGAAATATATCTGTTGCCTTTTTTAAAGTCATACGTTCTTCAGCTTTATTTGTTTCTCCTTTAATGTGAGACACATTAAAATATGTTAGATATTTTCCAATTTTTCTTTCTTGATGATAAACATAGTTTGATCACATGTGTGTTTTTTAATTTGCCTAGCAATTTCTGATAAACAGCCATAAACACAATGGAGGTAGTTTATTTCAGTATGATACAAACTCGTAACACATTTCAAATCTTTCTGATATACAGAACTAAACTGAATTTACCTATGCCAGCTGATTTCAGGTTCAGGAGAGCCAGTGGCTCTACAGAATAAAGTAATTGCCTCTCCCCGATCTGCTGTAGCATTAAAGGACTTCTGTAGCAAAATAATTGCTGGAGGAACTGAAAGAAATGTAAAAAAATGCATGTGAGGTAAACTAATTGAAAAAATATAAAGGTTCAATTGCTTCTGTGGAAACTTTGAACAGAGCAATCCTTATTAAGCATTTAATTTACAAATACAAAATGAAGTCAGCTTACAGTATCAGATAACACTAAGATATTTTCAAAGTTGTATTTCCTTCAGACGACGTTAATCATTATTATTTCTTTGTAATGTTATCAAACCACTTGTGTATGGTTTCTTTTGAAGTAAACTAACAACAAAATGAATATAAGCATCTTTTTCTCCTGATCTGTTTTATTAAATAAGATTTAAAAGTAGCTGAAGGACCATAGCTACTGTGTGCATGTCAGTGCAGAGAGACTGATTAGTGTTAATTAAACTACTTGAAATGAAAATGTCTCTCTTTTCTCCTCCCTCTGACACAATCGTGCAGCTGAGAGGCAACCATGCACTGATGTGAGACAGCACTTTCAAATTAGGTATCAACCCATAATGTTCTTCTTGATTAAACATATTTAATTCTTCTAAACAAACTATAGTATATTTTCTGGACAGGAATATCATCAGCTTAAAATGACACATTGTGCTAGAGTTCTGCATATACAATCCATATCTAAAATTATATTTCCAAAAATTCTAACTAATTATTGTGTCCTGAGAATTGCATATTTTGCATTTTTGACATAATGCAGTTATTACTAAAACAGTAATTTGCACTGAATACCTCATCAATATTCATAATAAAAAGCTGTTTCAAGAAACAATAAAGCAGAAGATGTAATTTAATATCTCCATTCATGATACTAATCCTATTATTCTACTGGAATGGACTTAAGACAGATGGTATGAATCTTAATTTCCACAAAATTCATACTCAAGATGAACTAAAAGCATCTATTATATAATTAGAGAAGTCATAGTTAGACATCTCTGATAGGTAATCAAAAATCCTAGATCCTCTGTGGCCAAGCAGATTTGAAAACACATATGTTCTTTGCTTGTACTGTACCGAGAGACGCTCAAGGACTTTGACCTGAATTTTCTGCCATCAAGTACACTTTGCTCTGCTGCCTGACATTCACGCTGCCTGTGCTGGAATGCCATCCCACAGAATAAGGAAAGGAAGGGGGGGTGTTGGAAGAGGACAGAACAGGGAGAACAGAAGAGCTATTTTCCACCAAGCCCAATTCTCTGCTGGCAAGGATATCTTGTCAGCAGGATAACTTAGAGTTGCCCCTGTGCAGCTTTAACTTATGTGGTGGCTGCTGGGTGAGGATCAGGGAACCACAAACAGCTCCCTGTTAAAGTCTCCTCCCTCCACTGTATCCAAGCTCTGCTTGGCCAGAGGAGAGAATCACTCCCTTTTGCTTTAAGCCGAGGACTTTATTTTCACAGAAAAATCACTGCCTCCCACTTTTAATTTCAAAACATCTCTCTGGCAATTACAGAAATTTCTTATATGGAAAAATATTAGGCATGTGTTTAATGAATTTCTAGCTCTTTTGTGTTATGCTCTAGCTCCTGGACCTGAGCAGGAACCAACTCCAGGTAATCAGACAGCTCTTTGTGGACCAACAGCAAGTTCTCCATTGACCACAAACTCCATGTATGGAGTTTGGGATGTATAAGTAGGGGCATAGCGAGCAGATCGAGAGACGTGATCGTCCCCCTCTATTCAACATTGGTGAGGCCTCATCTGGAGTACTGTGTCCAGTTTTGGGCCCCACACTACAAGAAGGATGTGGATAAATTGGAGAGAGTCCAGCGAAGGGCAACACAAATGATTAGGGGTCTGGAACAAATGACTTATGAGGAGAGGCTGAGGGAACTGGGATTGTTTAGTCTGCAGAAAAAAAGAATGAGGGGGGATTTGATAGCTGCTTTCAACTACCTGAGAGGTGGTTCCAGAGAGGATGGTTCTAGACTATTCTCAGTGGTAGAAGAGGACAGGACAAGGAGTAATGGTCTCAAGTTGCAGGGGGGGAGGTTTAGGTTGGATATTAGGAAAAAACTTTTTCACTAGGAGGGTGGTGAAACACTGGAATGCGTTACCTAGGGAGGTGGTAGAATCTCCTTCCTTAGAAGTTTTTAAGGTCAGGCTTGACAAAGCCCTGGCTGGGATGATTTAATTGGGGATTGGTCCTGCTTTGAGCAGGGGGTTGGACTAGATGACCTCCTGAGGTCCCTTCCAACTCTGATATTCTATGATTCTATGATTCCACTGAAGTCAAGAATTTCAAGATTATGGACTCAATTCAGAAACTTGCTTAATCATTTCAAATGATCAAAAAGAGATATAATGAAGTAATTTTATTCTAAGCCTCATTCTTTCTTTGTAGGCCCAAGGCTTGCAAACATTTGAGCTTCTCATCTTTCTTGATTGATCTGTAATTTTATTTTTGGTCCAAGCCTATTAGGTACCATTAAGACAAGATGGTAATAAAGAAGGAGCCTAAGAGAAAAACAACAAACTCAAAGCTCCAGAAACTAACATTTATATATCAAACACATTTTCTTTTAAAAAAATTGCTTTTTAACTTTTGTTTGTTGACCTGGATTTTGTTAGCATTTCACCTATTGTACAATAAAGTCAAGATAACCAATCCACTGAATAGCCATTCAATGCTAAATCAGTTCTTGGAGGGTTCAGAATACATCTTTTCCTTGTCATCCATGAACATTAATTAGAGAGAATAATTTGTGGAAGAGAGATCATCAGGAAACACATACCTTATAATTAGGCTTGGAAGGATTAGTTTTTAATTGGTTAATGTCAGTATTATATATATAACCAATTAAAAACTAATATATAGTCTATACAATTTTGACTTTAAAACTAGAAAAATAAATGAACTGAAGGATGGAAAGTGATGTAAGATCAACAGGTCCTATGAATTTTCATTAACCAGAAGTTCTAAATTCCAGTCCTGCTTTCAAGGACACCCAGAGAAGTGAGAAATAGCTCAGTAATCAAACTGAAATAAATTACCACTAAAATATTCTAACCCTAATGTAAGGTACAGGTTCAGCACAGAATTGTGTTGAGATACTACACTGATGGGAGGCAATATAAAGTCCTAAAATACGTATACTAGTGTTCTACATGTTTCCCACACCCTAGCTCCAATGACAGAGAACAAGTGGCAGCACATTAGGCCTGCTTCTTCTCCCACTGAAGTCAACAAGCCTGTTGTCATTGACTTTAACGAGAACAGTATGAGGCCCTTATTGCCCTTCTGTACTAGTATTCATGTCTTCTGTCAACTGTAATTCAGTTGCCCTGTATCAGCATGTGATGTGAAGATAAATTTACTTCTTGTCCCATCATGTCTGTACAATATACAGTGGGCATAAATGGCAAAAAGTACATAAGCACCATTTCAGGTATTAGAGTAATCCTGAGAAAAAGCAAACTCCAACCTTATTCTATGACACCAACCAAACTGGGTGCACTATGCTCCGAAGGAACCTCTCTATTCATAAATCAAAGTGAAATCAGGTGCTAATGTGCAAATGTACATTTCAGATGTTCTATTTTTAATATATTTCAGACAATGCACCTGACTTGCTGTGAAGAAAATTCTGGAGAGAAGATATGCATCCCTAATCAAATACTGGAATGTAATGACTGAAGAAAGGAAGATGATAATGAAGATTTTGTCTTCAGATAGAAAGCTCCAATTATACTGTCTTGGTCATAGATACGAACTACAAGAGCACAATAACATCAGCTCTTTCCATCACAAAGTACTGCATTATTTTTCTGAGCACTGTTTCCTGAAATGAGATATTCAAATGGTGCAATAATAATATGCCAATAAGTTATACTTTTTATTGTATCATGTTTATGATTGGACATAGAAATACTGTATTCCCAAAACAAGGAACCTCCACAGCTGACGGTCAATTATCTAGACAGATATATTACAAAACTTTTTTTCAGGACATTCATTGCATTTTCCTCTCCTCACAAATTCAAAAGGAGGATTTTTATTTATTTTTAATGTAGTTTGAGAACCAAACTATCAAGATATTCAGCAGAAGCTCTCTGTCATCCAACTGTCGCCAGAACATTGAATACTAAATAGACTTATTTTTTCCATAAGCAATTGACCTGACATCCACTCGTATGAAGAGATGATGTTGGGTTTCAACTCATTCCTTCATTTTAGTTTGCCATTTGCATCTATTCTACCTGTAGTAAGGCAACATTATGACAACCAGCCTAAGACTTGAATTAGTCTCCTCTATGACTGCAATCCCTTTCTCCATTAGACACTAAATATGGAGGCTGGTGCCTAATGTTAGGCATACAGGTTGACCATTTGGGCCAAAACTGCTGTGTCTCTCTGGAAAGCTTAAGGGACGACTTAAACCACTTTACTTTCCCCATTATTCTATGGATGACAGGCACCAGCCTGGTCCTCCAGTTTACAGTGGATGTTCTACATTACAATAGCTGCCAACAGTCCCAAGAGACATTTCTGGCTGCCATGAATCATCCAGGTGGGAGAGATGATGTGGCCGCAACCAAGCGGGAATCGTCAAGTGGTCCTCTTGGTTTGTTTTAAGGCTCCTTTGTGTTGCCCCAGGATCTGTGTAAAAATGACACTATCATGCAATTTTCATTCTCCCTGTAAGTTGCTTGTTCCTCCATTACCAAGCCTGAAATAGTAATAAGTATATCATTCTTCTTGACTGCACAACAGAATCAGAATGCAAAATCTTTCTATTGTATTCACAGTGACATTTTCTAAAACAGTTTCTTTACTTGGTGCATTTGTTCATATTTGCAATGACACTGAAGTCTGAAAGAATGATAAATGGAGGCATAACTGCTATGTAGCAATTATTAATCTTGAGAAAGCATATGACTTGGTTTTGTGGGAGTTAGTATTTGGACTCTTGAGTTGGATGGAAGGGGGGGCTTCAAGAAGTGGATGTGATAAAGGAAGCGTATAGAGCCTCAAGAGTTATGGTGTTAACAATACATGGA